ATCCAGGCAGACGGTATCGATATCAACGCAAACAACGAGGATGGCTGTACCGCATTATCACTAGCATACCAATATAGCCATAAAAACGTTGTGAAGATGCTCCTCGAAGCCGGCGCCTCGAATGAACGCAGAACTGGAGCTTCATCAGGTTAGACTCGGCCGTATGGCGACATTTAATGGGGTAGGGAATTACTTACTCATTGCTAAAATGAATTTGTGGGAGGAAGATGGACGCTATCTTTACCTAGTCGTATTTCTTTTTGTCAGCTCAGCTTTTTCTATATTGTGCGCCATCTGTGTTCCATTGGTTGGCTTTCTTGATAATCCTCGGGTATTGATGAGAAGGAATTAGGCAAGGATGAATGAAGACGAGGTTTATGGCAGAATGTTTTGTTCTGGTCTCTTATTTTAGCCGGGGAAGTGATTATTGTTTATTCTATGATTAAGGAATGTCGAGTGGATTACTTTTTTTTGTTCTCCTTTTACGAGATCATGATGTGATCTTATTTGTCTTTCTTTACGTTTTTAGGGCTCGGTGTGTCATGGTGGTGAAATTATAGGAGGTGCTGCTTTGTGAATCGGGCTGTCAACAGAAGTCCCCCAAATGATGATCGGTCGATTATAGCAGGACTTTCTAAGATCCCGCATAACTGCTGGTTATCTCTGTTTCCTTGAGTTGTCCTTTTTCGATGTTCGATATCCTAGCTTAAAATGGCGACAGAAGTGTGAAGAAAAAGACGAAAAGAAAAAAAAAGAATAGATAAACAGGACATATCAAAATAGATATATCAGTTATCTACCCACCAGGGGTATTGAACGGTAATCTGCTTACTGAAAAAAAAAAATGAACAAGCAGACATGGCTGTCATACCTGTCTTCGGCACTTTTGTACCTGCACCTGGTAAGTATGATTCAAAAACGTACTCCAGGTAGAGAATAATAGATCATCAGAACAATCATACCTAAGAAGCAGAAAACATCGCAGAAGTTAGATATAAAGCAAAATATCAAACATTTGGATGATGGGAAAGTTGATGAATAAAAAAAAGAAAGCCAACGGCGCTTCTATGACGACGGAATGGGTCCCTTGAATTGCCGCCCTCCGGTGAGCTTGCTCCCATATCGATATACAGAATAGGAGAAATTGCGAAAATATGAAGGAATGGGTTGAGAAATGCGAGACACGATAGGTTGTAAATGACTGGGTGGGTTGAAAGGGTTCGGGATGAAGAATTTCCCATGTCTTTATAGAGCCAGATGGAACATAACTTGAGAAATAGGATGTGGTGGATATAACAGCCGTAGAGATCTTTTCTTCCATCAATAGATAGGGAGCCGAGGGGGGGAGGGGGGGGACCAAAGCATAAACGCGAAATTTTTCGGTTTTTCTAGCTTAACCTCGAGACTAATGATACCTTGAAGTAATTCTAGGACCTTTTGCGCTCTGCGTGACATCATGGCGGTGAAATTGCATAGAGTGATACCTTGTGAATAAGGTTGTCAACAAAGCCAACGCAATCAGTTATCGGTCGACCATAGCAGCTCCTGCATTATCTCATCGGTTATTGGTTTTTTTTGAAAATGGAATCTGACCATTTGTTTCACATAATTATTTATAGATATGATGCATTTAATACGTATTTCATAGTTCCAAGTAACTTGAGTCCTACCCATGTAGCCTTGCTCTTCACAGCCAGTGTCAAAGACCACTACAATTTTTGTTACATTTATAACTTGAAATCTGGTCATTATGTTCCGGACTAAGTTGCCTACAATACAAAAATATGAAACACATCAGCATTACCAGTCATAAAACCCCAAAATATCACGGAAGGAAATGTTAAATGAGGAAGTGTTACATACCCATGTGACCTATTCTGCGCTTCAAAAAGTTTATCTTTACAGTCATGGTTTCTGTAAAATGCACAGCATTTCGCTTGGACTCTGTAACTCGTGATTCTGTTATGGAGATTCAAATACATTAGCTCTTCTGCTCCTCCTTCTCTTTTTCCATGCTATTGAGTATTCTCGTTATGTCGAGAAAAATGAAAAAAAAAAAAAAAACGAAAAAACAAATGCAGGGGAAGAGAGAAGTAAACCACCAGTGCTTAGTACTTACGAATTATCCCAGACTCCAAAAAGGTTTTGACATTGAAGAAAAGGTGGAGATTGGTATTGACACCATTCTCGGGGCAGGTAATCTTTTGCGCGGCAGTATTCCAAGTATGGGAATTGTTGTGATATTGATGTATCTTCGGTAGTTTTGATGGTTCGTGCAGCTGCGGTGGTCCCTTCGCCGGGAGAGTGTGGTTGTGCAGGAAGACCTACGACTGCTAATGGCATGCAGGCGATAAAAAGAGATTGGAGGAGAAAGCGGTACATTTTGGGATTGATATTATTTTTCCGGGATTCTGCTTTAATTCCAGTGACTATCGACGCAGAATCGTCGTCCGCTATTCTTCATCTTTTATATAGATTTCTTTGTCCTCAACCCAACCATCAAGCGGTATAATGTAACATGTATCGTGTTATCCAAGTGGCAAAGTGTTCCCATATCATGACAAGTTCTACATCTTAAGTTGTATAGCATCATGTCGTCAACGATATCAGTCTCACAGGAACTGAATCAAAACCACGGTTGTACTGAAGGTCATATTCTTCTTGAGCACAAGCACAAGCGCCGATGTAACAACGGTGGCAGAAAAATAAAGTTTAGTCTTTAGCCTGTGTACGATAATGGTTCAATTTTGCACAACGAAAGTGATGCGATACACGGAAAGAGGCATGATGTATATCTACAGTCGATGCATGAATTTTGAAGGATGTATGTAGTATGTAGACGCTGAAGTTTATATATAGATAGATCATTTGTGCAAGCGTCTTTCAGTGGCAGTGTAAGTGATGTTCAGCTGCTCAGAAAAATGGCCAAGCCCCCTGGACACCGCAAAAACACGATCATCGGTGTTATATACATAATGCACGGTCCATACAACAATATGAACTTGAAAAGATAGAAATAATTGATGCAATAATGGGAATTAAAATTCTTTATTAATTGTTATAATACATAACTTAAGCAGCATAAGTTCAAGTTATCCGTAAATTGGCTGAACTTGAGACAGTTCATTAATATCCTGCAGCCCATCCCATTCTTTTCTGTACCAGACTAATAATAGGCGTCGCAATCTTAGATCATCGGTTTGCTTATCTAGTTTCAACCCTGAAGGCTTGAATAATTGGACGTTGAATTATGCTTATTGGCTGATGAGCAGCGACAACATGGCGCTTGGAAATGTGAAGACCGACACACCATGACACTGGTTGACCTAGAACCAACTCGGGTGCATGCTATATCACTATTGTCAGTATATAAACCATCTTGACATTCTTACAAGCCCAGATTGAACCATCCTGAATTTCCCACGCAAAAGTTCACTAACGAAGATGCGCCGGCTATAGTGATTTTACATAATTCTATGTGCTATTACCATCCACCACCCTACTAGTCGAACCGTCGTATGACCAGCTAAAATTTCCTAGAAAAGGATCCGTTATATGTAATTGAATATTTCTCAACTGAGTCGTAGTCAGACGCAGTAATCAGCTTCGGGTACCTTCGACACTAACTTCCCACCAGTTGACACTCAGAGACGTTACACCACTAGCACTTCCACATTCCAGAGGGGATCTTCCGATATTCAAGAACGATTTTCACCAATCAAATCCCCAACCTCACATAATGAAGATCTTTCATATCCTCCTTCTCCTACCATTAACTTTCGCACATCCCGTATCTATACCAACCCTAGCCATGAAGCCTCTCGTCATTCGCTCCGAAGCCCAATCATCCATCTCGAACCAATCCCAAAACAACATCAAACCAGCCGCCATACGGATGGCCGCACTAGATATCAAAGTTGAGATATGTATTGACGCCGACTATGCACGTTGTCAAAATGGAGTTGCGGTACCACGGGTCTGTTATAACCTTGGTGGGCTATTTGATAAATCGTGAGTTGTCTCTTCATCTTATCATTCGTCCACTTTTGGCGGCGTGTCTTTTTGATTTACATTTTTTTATTAGTGTTTGAGGAAGGGACGATGGATTGACTAACGGATTATGATTGTTCGGTATATGGTTGTAGGGTTTCCAGCTATACCGTTTACTCAGGGCCTGGATGTTGTGCTTTCTTTGATTCACAAGATTGTCGGGGGGGTCTTATGTCTGTCGCGAGGAATCAGGGACAGAGGTATGTGTTATGACGTGGTTTCTGATGAATGATGGATGTTTACTGATGGTTTGTAACAGTCGCCTTAGTCCTGATTTCGATGATAAGATACGAAGCTTTGTGTGCTGGACACGGTGTTGAGTCTACCGAGGATGGTGGGGTGGTAAGATTTATGTGCGTTCAGTCATTGAGAATCACGTGGGGGAAGTCTGCAAGCGTAAAGTACATTACTATTTCTGGCCATGATTAATAGCAATGTGATTTCACCTTATTGACATTCAAAAGATTGCCATGTGGCGTAATACTCAAGTTCTTCCTCAACGACTAGTCGAATCGATATCAACAAGGGTTCCAACTGTCGCATGCACGTAATAAATGATATTCAACGTTCTTCTATGTTGTAGATGGTTGTAGATATCTATAAAAACCCATCTGCACTCGGCGTGTGTCAGGGGATTAACAAAAAAAAAATAAAGGCGCGTGATGAACTGTCTAAATTTGTGAAACTATCTCGCTGATCACATAAACAAAACCCATAATCGATTATAGACTCATTTTCATCATGAGAAAACCCTCCTGATTTCCGCCAGAACTTCCAGCACCTCGCACATTCTCTCCCCCCGCCGCCATCTTATCCTCCATATCTCGTAACATACAGTGTCCACTGCGTTTCCATTCCCCACGTTCCTTCCGTTGCAACCCGCCCTAATGACGTCCTTCCGCCGTTGCTCTTATAAGGCTCTATACATAATATAGTACTGCAACATCACAGCCCGAATGGTCTAGTGGTATGATTCCTGCTTTGGGTGTTAACATAAACATCAACTTGCAGGAGGTCTCCGGTTCAAACCCGGATTCGGGCCTTCTTTTTGGTCATCTCGTTTTTGCGCTTCCCGCTTCTGCATCGTGGATGCATACGAGCATAATCTTTCATCTATAAGCGCCGACGCGAATTAAGTTCAATAGGCGCGCTAGTTCCCATGCAAGGTAGTTCCAGAGTCATGTCCTCAGCTGCGCCATGCCATAGCCATAATTGAAGACAGATTGGGTTTAAATAAGTGGATTTCGCAACGCGCTATCGCGAGGCGGCTAACGCTTTGAACTCTAGAATAACTGAGTAGCGTAATCTGAAGTTCCCCTCTCCGCTAACGCGAGGACAAATCCCCGCGCCACTAAGCGGCGCGGGCTCCATTTAGTGACCCAAAAAAAGTATAGCACAGACCGTCGTGACGCGCTATGGTCCGCTGCTTCTGCGCGCTAGCATACCGCTCTTGCTCTCGCCGAATTTTCACCCGCACAAACTTCGCAGAACACCCCTCCCGCACACTGCGAAAATTATAGCTAATGTGCGTCAAGAGCTTGAAATTCTCTTTTAGTGACGCTAGGCGAACTCCCTCTAATGACATATACTCATTCTGTGCGGCTGTTGTATCCTGGAGATTGATTAGTGGTTCAGAAGTTGATTTAGCGACGATGGATTACGATCGATGGGAGTGAAGACTATTGCAAACCAGGGTGTGGAAAGATTAAGCCGAAACGCCATCCCTTCGGGATATGAAAGTTGAATAAGTCAGAGGACCAATGGTAGATATAGATAGGGGAAAAAGAAGAAGGGTGTTGTTTTTCTACTTTGTATGATCGACAATTCCAACTCATCTACACCTCCAAAGCAAAAATATTCTAACCAAACCATGAAACCAGCTGATCCATAATCGATACAGTAATAACCAATACCACTAAAAATGACAAAAGTTCTCTTTATTACACCTCCCATCCCCTAATCCTCTCCGTCCATTCACCATCAATGCCCGTCACCAAAACAATTAATTAATAGCGCTTAACCTCATACATATCCCCAATCAAAAACTTTTTACACCCCCAAGCTAATAATAACACACATCCCAGAATAATTCCAATCTGCCACCAAGCGCAAAAGAATATCTTAGTTTCCTCTCCGCATCGCCTACAAAATATTCTACAGGGTCGCTTTTGGTCCTTTTTTTCTCCATTTTCATCCACATTCCCATTTCCATCTTCTATTTGTACTAAATCTAACGGTGTTGTTGAAGCACCCCAGGGATGAAACTGGAATAGATTTCGAGTTTGGGTGCGGTTATCGGTGTCGGTATCAGCAATACCATCCAGATTATAGATACGGCTTATCCTGACAGGAACCATGTCCTGGGCCAGTGTTTCATATGGCATAGTATCAACTAGTGTTGATAAACTATCGTTTGCGAACTCGGCGGTGTTGTAGACCATGTTTCTTGTAGAAGCCTAGGACACTATTTGTTAGGTGACTGCTTGAATGCATCAGTATAAGTGGGCACAAACGAGGGTACGAGGTTCCGTTGAGTTAGTTGCGATGTTTTCTGGGTCTGGATCCGATTCGGGAATTGGGTAATTTGAATCCATTTTGGTTGTACAAGAAGGAATTGAGAGGCGAATTGAGATGTGATGGGATACTGGCGGGGGTTGAGGGGAGATGGAGGATTGTGTTTTCTGTATGGAAATAGTAGATGAATGGTGAGGTTAAAGCTGTACGTGGAGACATGGAGATATAGTTATATGAAAACATTCAATCCACCTGGATAAATAATTGCCTAAGCTACTAGGAACACAAAAATCCAGATAAATCGACCCCCTATAGGAGAACAATATCTCAAGACTCCTTCTTCCCAATACCCACCTTCCAACCCACCTACAACACTGTCAAGCACCACAAAACTGGTACTCGGGACATTTACAACAAAAGAACTTATAACCGGCAGCACAACAACCACCTCCCACACAAGACTGAACTAAAACCCCCATCCAACCGGGTATACACAGTCCCCCACATGCTGGCCATACTCCACCGTAATAACAAGGATATGGAACTCGATTTCCTTTGATAAAAGCTAGTGGTGGGGGTGTGGTTAGTATATACCATGTATGATGACTGAGATTCAGGGATAAAGGAATGAGAATGGCAATATATACGTGACGATATAATTGATGATATTTCTGCCTTGGGGTCGGAATGTACGGCGTCGTTGGGTGATGTAATAGCCGGATTCGCCACTGGGTGGAGGGGCGGAAATCATTAGCTGTATCCTCTTCTATTTCTCCCTTGTCATGAAGGAGGGGGCGTATGGGGAGTTGTACTTCCTCTGACAGCAGTCACGAGAAAAATAATATGCATAGCTGATAACTTCATGATATCTTGGATGCAGATTTGGTAAAGAATAGTTGTAGTTTATAAGCGAGTTGCAGCAGTATCATATAGTCTGTACAAAAGTATATCAATGGTTTTGGATTATTCTCGCCCTCTATATAAGGTGTGATGGCTATGGAGAGAGTCTATGCGTTCTAGGGCGCACGGGTGCTACATCGGGATCTGCATGCATAGAAATACGTATAATGCATGTATAGAGTACAGAGCATGCGCAGTGAAATTTTAATGACAGGGCTATAAAAAGAGGTATGTTTCACCGAGAAATGAGCAGTGAGCAGTGAGCAGTGAGCAGTGAGCAGTGAGCAGTGAGCAGTGAGCACGATGAACTTTAACTTTTTGAAATCTTCTTTGTGAACAACCATCCATACCATGCCCAATACCAATATTAAGGTCCATAGTATCAATGTCTACGATAGAAAGTCTATGCATAAGCTTGCATCCATCGAGAGAACTAGGTTTGTAAGGGGTTTGTTAATATATCCGCGGGTTCCTAAAAATTGATTTCGCGTAGGAAACGTTATAACACAACGCAAGTATCCGTGATCAGCCGATCAACTATCGGAGGATCTGATGATTACCCGTGCCACTGGTGTTATATTCACATAGGAATGAAACGTCGTGACCGGGGGTATAGACGCACAGAGACGTAGGCGGTTATCTATACAAAACCGCCTGGGCCGAGGCCTTTGTGCCTTATGGATACATGGAGGATCTAGTTTTGTGCGGTATTACATATATATACAGATGTTTCAAAACCTCCATCAGAACTCTAAAAACATGAGAAAAGGTAGCAAGAGATCGATGAGAAGAAGAAATCAAGAAGGAAAGAAGAAAAGAAATATTGATTGCATAACTCGAAGTGACTTGGATTAGTATCATAAATCCGTTGCTACTTAAATATTTCATCCTTCTCCTGAATTTATTGTTTATTCATTGATTTTATAATACCTGCTCTTATATCTCGAGCCGTTCAATGAGACTACAGCACCATAACCTTCAATTACTTAACTACCCACCTGTACCTAAACTGCATACATACAGCTCAAAAAATGGTGTTTTAAACTAATTCGGAAGTTATTCGGAGTTCACTAATATCAGTATCATCAGGCAAATAAAAATGCAGTGATGCCGTAGGGGCCGGGAGTGATCATGGAGTATCACTCGTTGTCTAGACTCGAGATGTGGAGTGGTAATATTCTAGAGCTCCGGCTGATGCTGTAAATAGAGGTGTGCAGTAGTTCTGCTTGGGGATATTAATGCAATATAGTTGGGGAAAGGTAGTAAAGCTTATAAAGGTGGTAAATGGATTTGCGTTGGACTAATGGAAGGGTCGTACTAATGAGAAATGGACTAGTAGGTCTTGAGTATGCGCTACATTATTTTGCTGTAGCGACTGTTAGTGGTAGCTATGTTAGCGGGCTGTTGTGCTGATCTTGTTTTTCGGTGGTCTTCTGGGGTTTGGATGGCAGCTGCTGTGTGTCAGTTGTAGAGGTGGTTGCTATCTTTTGCCGTTGTTGGTCATGGTGGGATTTGTGATGGGAACTGAGGCTTGATGATGGAGATATTGAGTGAGGGTTTATTCATGGTTTTTACTGATTTTTCTGGAGGTTTTATTTTGATGCTTTGCTCCAGAAATGGAAATTGTCACGTCTCGTGCATTTGTGATGTCATAGACTCATAGTTACAAAATCACTCTCGATTATGAGATGTCGTAATGACTAAATACCTTTTGAATCTACAGTATTACAGCTCCATATCTGTCTTGAATTCATTACGTAATTGTTGTTGAATCCCCTCCGAATCCAGAGTATATATTGCACGTCCCGACGCCTCATCCATATTCAGAGAATTCTTGTTTCAGGATCCATCCCCCAGAGACACCCCGTGAACAAAACACCTATCCATACCAGAAATTCCAGTGTAATACCAAAATTTCTTTTTTGACAGAAAAGGAGAATATATAAACCGTAGAAAACAATTCCCCAGAACACCATCAGGCGTGCTCTTATCAAAACTTCCAACATCACTTAGACTCTAGGCCGCAGGCTCTAGCATCAATCAAATCCTCTGCCATCACCCTCTCGCTACCTTCCCAATGTATCCACTGCCGCATCTCATCGTCGTTCTAATAGCTTCCATGACTGTGATTGCCAGTACGTCCTGATCCCACCCCCCACCCCCCTGCCCTTCCTCTCCCTAGCCTTACTATCACCAATTTTCTTTTTCTGCTCAGGTTCATTCATCCAAGGCCGCTCACTCACCAAATATATCACCCCACAGCTCCGATAGCAAAAGCGGCATCTCCGGAAGAACTAGACAAGCGAATATGCCAGTATACGCACTGTGTGCATGTTTTGCAATCTCTTTATTGCCCTGATGGAAGCCGAGGAAGGGATGTTCAGTTTTGTAGTCGGGATACATATAAGATTATGTGTTGTTAAAGATTGGTTCTAAGAATGAGGATAGCTGAACAGTCGCATGTTAATGCTGTGATTGTGGTTAGTTATTTGTAGCTACAACGTGGATGTGGGAGTTTGAGTGTATTCTGTAGTCAATATGACGGCTAGGATTAAATCATAATTTGGTTACAGTTGTTGAAATCTCGAAGATGAAATAATAGAGTTCCTTTACGTCTTTGATGAGAAA